ACTGACAGGGCACGTATGTGAGTTGTTGATTACAACAAAAATAAGTTTCTTTCTGTGATGTTATTTTATAAAACAACATTTATCTGGAAAAGTGTTACTTTGTTACCAGCCGTACTCTTTAATTCACATATTTGACCTTTTCCACTCATATATAAAACATATGGAGACGTTCAGCAGGGCTTTACAGCTGCATTCATGTTTGTTTGGACACGTGAATGCAGAATAACACTTAGACTTGATTGAATTGCCTTACAAATTCAATTTAGTTAACAGTTTCCTATTTCCACATCCAGCAGGCACACAGCAACATCAGTGTTCATTTGGAGTTGGGTTTCAGGACCCCAGATGAATGTAAGTTCAAGTTCTGTTTGGGTCTTTTGAGAGAAAGAGGTAGATTAACACCCATCAGTAGAGAACGCAGATACACACTCTACACTCCAGACATAAATGTCGCATCTGAAATGTGGCCCTACCTTTGTAGAGGTTCTCAGGGCCCAGATGGGAGTTGGGTATGTGCTCCAGCTGCTGGGTCTGGCTGTTGTGGAGCTCCTGGATGTAGCGATGCTGGTCGTCAATCACATTCATAAGACCCTGGATCTCCGCTTCAAGGCGGACAACCTTCTCCTCGCATGGCACAGGGGCCTGGACAGAGGAAGAAAGACGAGATTAGTTAGCTGGCACATCGAGGGTTCTCCTGGCTTTTAAGGGTCGGAAGTAAAGCTCGGTAAAGATAGCCAACAGACAAATGTGCAACAAGGCACGGTGCATTGTCAGTCTGTGTGATCGTGTTAGTTTGTTAATATCCTCTTAAGTACTGGACAAATTGATGTTGTTATATTTACTATTTGTTTTTCATACCTAGGTTGTTTGTTCAAGGTTGCCTTTTGTGCCAAATTATGTTTTTTGCATCAGTATTTGATTTGATCATTTTTCCATATTTATCCTGCTCCGACTTTTCGTCAATAGAGGGCAGCATAAGCCAGCTAATGGCACATTTATTCACTGTTCTATCCACTGTGCATGAAGAACCTTGTTTTCTTAATATATTTCTTTATTGCATAATATTGATTTATTATTTTAGTTGTGTCTAGATAGCATTACACATGTTCTGCTGAAATATTCTACAATCCTTGACGTTTTCAAACACTGACCAAAAGAGGTTTAAAAAGATGCATGGTGGTCAAGACAAACATGCTGACACTTTTCTTAAAGCTGCAGTAGGTCATTTTTATCAACAACAAAAAAAATGTGTCATGTTTGCTGAAACTGTCAGTATATCCTGACAATAGAACATGGGACAGATAAACTGTGAAACAATCAAACAGAGAAAGATAGTTGATTGTTCAGTCTCATTCCCAGGGCGTCAAATACAGATGTCTTAGGACCCTGGGAAGAGAAGTACGTCAGACTCAACAATCAACTATCTTTAAGATTCAAACCCAAAGCATGTTTCTATCTTTCTCAGCTCTGATTGGTTATTTTTGTTCAGGCCTGGTGGATTCTTGGAAATAACATTAGAGGAGCCAGAGGAAGCTGATTGTTTCACAGATTATCTG